AAAGCCCTGGTTGTTGTAGAGACCGGACTCCGGACACACGGGGTTGCCGACACAGCTATTGGCTGTCCTGACATTCTCTTATTCACCGTAAGACCACCTCCTTACCCATCCTCTCGGCAATTCTCCTAGCGCACCCCTATCCCTACTATCCTACCTCAGTATTACTACTCAGGACTATCACCATGGTATTTCAGAGGGCGACTTGGACCAGACAGTAGGCCCCTCCCAGCCCCAGTTGAGGCACAGTCAAGCAAGCCACGTTACTCGGGTACATCGGGCGCCAGGCTCTAGTATTATGTCTGCTTCTCATTTCTAAGGCTTCAAATGGCCAGTACACAGCCCAAGCCTGCAAGATTTCTTCATGGCTCTCTCCTTAAACCACCAGTACTTGGCCCAGCTATCGGCCGCGGGTGATTCCCGTTAACGCGCCGCTAGTTTGCGGGCTTCGGGGCACCGAACCACAATGCCTGGAAGCGCCAGCCAAAATCAAAACGAAACGATGCCCCGACGGCTCGGCAAAACTTGGCGCGCAGGGGGTATCCCGGCTCGGCATCAATAGCTGGGCCGAGTACTGGTGGTTTAAATTTCAGATGCTTGGGGCTGCCAGACCACAATTGCTGGCGGTGGCAGTTGTAAGGGAAAAAGGGGTGCGCCTCTGGCGGGATCAGCAAAGGAAAAGATTTGTTCATGGCTCACTCCTGAAGTATCAGATGCTCGGGGCTACCGTACCGCAATTGCTGGCACGCCCGGGTGGACTAGTGGTTTAAGAATCAGATAATACTTCCTTGGGGATAGTACGCGGGAGTCACAAAACCGAGTTCGAATTGCACCAGGGGGCAAGATACAGTTTGCAGTTGCACTTGGGCAATTTATACTGCCCAGCTTTGTGGCCAGGTAGGGTGCCCCAAGTGCAATTGCAAACTGTGTCTTGGCCCATAGTGCAACTATAACTCGTCTTTTGTGACTCCCGCGTAGTTACCCCTACTTCCTTTTATGCTCATGCCTCCAGAATGGATTGGGTTATGAAGCGGGGCTTGTTGTTCATGGTGTTGATATGAGTCCTGTAGACAATCCTCATGTAGGAGAGGAAAAGGGTGGGAGGCTGAAGCTCCATTTTGACGCCAGATAGCTACTCCACACCGAAGGAAAAAAAAAAGGAACATACATGTAATATCCGGGGTCTAAATGTGCCCCTGTCTCTCTCTCTCTCTCTCTCTCTCTCTCTCTCTCTCTCTCTCTCTCTCTCTCTCTCTCTCTCCACAGGTGTGTGGCTGTGTGTGTGTGTGTTTGTGCATGCGGCACGATGCTTGGCATAAGCAGTTCCCGTGGGCTCAACCCTCAATGATCTTGAGTGAGATTAGGACGGGGGGGGAGAATGATAGGAGGGGAGGGGAGAAGAAGGCAGTGCTCATGATCTGAGGATGGGGCCAGGGATGGTCAGGGTGGGGGGAGGTAGCAATGGGGGTGTAGGGATGGGAGAAACTGGCAGAGGGGGATAACAAAAGAGAATGTTCAGAGATGGAAGGCGGAGGGAGGAGTTGTTTATGAAAGATGCGGCACGGAGGATCCTTTTTTTGTTTTTGTTTTTTTTGGTGTGTGTGTGTGTGTTCTGTTGGAGTTTTGATCTAATTCTCTCAAGCCATGGCGAAGATCACTGACAACTTTCAAACGAATTTGGAGAGTTTAGAATCGAGAGTTGATGGAGTGAGGCCCATCATTGTTCTGCAGAATTGGCTGCCAGAATCGCGCAATCCACTGCCGGGGACACAGCGTTGCACCGGACTGTACCAATTTGAATTTAAAAAAAAGGCAGAGATGGTAAATGATTGTTAAGATTTGGGAAAGTGCAACGAAAAGAGAAATCAGAAGAAACAAAAAGCTAAGAACAAGAGGGCTGTTAATAACATATGCACAGCCAGTGGGGAGGACGAAGCGGGAGGCGGGCGTCCGAGCACTCAAGTCCCGTGACGCAAGCTGCATAGTCTAGGGTTTCTTCCATAGCCGCGCGGCACGGCACATTGCCGTGAGCATGGCCGCGTGGAGCTTAGCCACCATACCCTGGGGCACTCAGCACGGGGAAGGGGGGTCTTGCAGCTGTCGAGCTTCATACGAGAGCTCGAGCAACAGAGCCATGAGCTTGTCCAGGGCTTAGAGGAGGAGTGGGCGCGCTCTCTGAGGAGGGGAGGCAGACGACATGGGGTCTTCACACAGGAGCTGGGGAGCAGAACGAGGGACGGCTGGCAGCTTTCGACACAGCTTTCTTTCTACTAAACTCTTACAAACAACCCAAATACATTCGAGCTGAAGAATGCTGAATATGGTGTCCTTCCCATGGAATAAGTCGATGGCGCCGTGAAGAATCACGACTGTAGTATGGAGAAGCTCTGATCTGGACCTTTCTGTTGCTTCTAAGAAAACGTGTGTGAAGTGACTTGAATTTCTAGAGGGTTTCTCGAACTCTGAATCGGCACAGCAGTCCGTATATTTGACAGTTCAGGGTTTTTCACGTTCTTGCCTCAATGGACGAAGGCTTCGGCTTCTCTTTTCTTTTCTTTTCTTTTCTTTTTTTTTTTTTTTTTTTTTTTTCCCAAAACACAGCCCGGGTAGATGTTAGGAGTGCTGATAAGACAGAGGAGAAGAAGAGGGAGAAGCTCAGCCGCTGTAGACATCACCGCCTCAGATCTGAAAATTTTCCACTTCAGTTTGAATTGAAAAACCTAGTACGGACAGTATGGTACTACATTGAAAGCTTGGCCTCCGTTCGCATGGCCGCAGAATTTGCAAGTCAGCATCCGCAAGGACCACAACAACCGGTTTCTCTAACGCTAAAAAGTTAGTTTCTGCTGGAGAACCGTCCCTGGCGTGAAGAGCTAACTGTCCCGCTGCAAAGATCGCGGAGATGGAGGACCGACCGGCTATCCCATACCCGTCCTTGCGACCGGAAGAAGAGGACAAGGAAGATGCCAAACAGGCGAAAGAGGTGGTTGCTGCGATGCAAACCATGCTCGATCGTCCGGAATTGCTAGATGTCACATTTGTCTGCACGGCGTCCAAAGAGGTTCGGGCGAATCGGGCGTTGTTGGCAGGCAGGAGCGAGTACTTCTCCAAAATGCTTTATGGGGACATGAAGGAGGGTTCCATGGACAGAATACCTCTTCCTGAGGTTCAGGCAGACAGTCTGCAGACTGTGATCAGTTACCTGCATGGGTGTCCCCTTAGGTGGAAACCTGACACCTGCTGGGAGGGCGTCTTGGACACGTACATGCTCGCAGAGCAGTATCAGGTGAACAGCTTGTGCGAAAGGGTCTTGCTGTGGGTGTCTAGGCTTGGTTATGCAAGCGAACTGGGGGAACTACTGAACGCCGCGATCCCTAGGCAAGCAGACGACATACTGAAAATTGCTCTGACGGTAATGAATGACGTCCTTGTCGTGGATTCAACGACATTTCGAGGGTGGAGCAAGGAGAGCATCGTGTACTGTCTAGACAATGCTCGCTTCCATCCGAACGTAACAGAAACGCTGGTCGCCGAGGCCGTGCTGTCAGCAGTATCCGATACTACCCTTCTCGTTGACAACGAAGAGACCAAGACCGCGCCAGAGCAGCCAGATTCACCGGCAGCTGAAGAACCTATGGATTCTGTCGCGCCGGCGGCTGGATCTGAGAAAGAAACGGGCGTCAAGGACAGTGATACAGCAGCAAGAAAGGTTTTACCATCAGGTGAGGACGTGAGAGCGCCGGAGGTGGAAGAAGTTTCACCAGCCAAAGAATCTATACATCATGTCGAGTCAAGAGAAACCTCTGAAAAAGACGACGGTACTGACGAGGATTGTGATGCAGCAGAGAGAGAGGTTGTGCTATCGAGGAAGGATGTGGAGGACATATTCAAAGGTCACATTAACCTTCCTTCGATTGAATCCTCCTTTCTGCAGGAGAGGATAGAGCCACTGCGAATCCTACGGCTGGAGGCACTCCTTGCAGCCTACAGAGTGCAGGGCATCTGCTTTACCAGGGGAGTGCCTCCCAGTTCTTTCTTTACAATGCCATGGCGATCCATGTGTCACAAACCACCCTTCGCACCTGTGGAAACAAGGAAAGGTGGAATTCGTAACGCGTACAATAAGGTCTTATTTCCGTCCTTGTGGTCCATAAGGAATGAAAAATGCGAGAGTTTAGAAGAGGTACCACAGCGGGTGGTGCGGTCCGATACAAAGTATGACGGTCTCACGATGATGAAGCTACACTTCGTAGCGGCAAGCATATCTGGAGAGTGCGGGTCCTGACAAAATTTCGCCGTTGTTACGTGGGGGTTGTTTCATCAGCCACCAAGGGACTCGCAGACCTTCCAACGATGGATGACCCTTGGATGTTGTCCAGTGAGCATGCGACTTGGGTCACAGCACCCTGGGAACTGTGTCCAACTTTTCTTGCCTCATCGAAGTTGGAGAGGTTCGATGAATCTGGAACCGCCGTCGTGGTGATATTGGATATGAAGAAGAGGGCACTGACGTTTGCGAATGATTTGGACAGCTACCTCAGGCACAGTGGGGAGTACCCTCAGGCCTATCTCAAACTTCCATGTGATGGCCCACTGTACCCAGCGTTGTTTATAGAAGGCCCTGGTTGCGCCGATATAGAATGGATTGAGAGTTCTCCCCGTGAACAATTTGTCCGTCCCATTTAAGCGACCCCCCCCCCCCTCTCCCACCATTAAACTAAGCCCGATGGCAGGTAGGTTGAAAATATCCATCATTTTTCAGCGCACACAATCGTTTGGCAGTCCTGGAATCAAATGAGGTCATCGCAAAGATGGTTTGCGATGTTGCCTGTCTACCTTGGGACATCTTGCCACACTTGATGATCTAGCCTGCGTGTGTGTGTGTGTGTGTGTGTGTGTGTGTGTGTGTGTGTGTGTGTGTGTGTGTGACATAAGTGATGTATAGGATACATACATGCTTTTTACTTCTGCCAGGTACTTCTGTTATGAAATGGATTCCAAACTCCAATTGGACAATTTAAACTGTGTGCTATTTTCCACGTGTGCCATGCACCGTGAGACCGGACTGAACACTGGAGTGCAGTGGAGTCAGTGGAGTCAGATGCAAATCCATAGAGGGGTGTACCACATCTTAATGTCTTGGATGTGTCGATCGCTGATGGCTACATCAGATGAGACTGTGAAAAAAAAAAAATCAAGTGGAAAGCAATGGCATTGAGCTGTATACGCCATGCTGCGGTAGGAATTTTTCCAGATTGACATACCCGCCAGTCCAAAGGCAGTAGGCTGCCCTCTTCAGAAGCATCTGCATATTGAGGAAATGCCGGGAACGATCGATAGCTGGTGGTTGGTCTACAGTGCTAAAGCCCTTTGGCCAGCAGCTAGGGCATGAGTGGTCATGATGCGGACTAGCAATGCCAGTGCTATTCAGGGCGGCTAGGCCAGAGGCAGGCAAGAAGAGAGAGTTGGGGAGGTGGAGTTTGGGCCTGGGGGGCGGAATCCGATGAGAAGACTCACGAGAGCCGCTGGGAGGGAGGAGGCAAAGGAGACTGAACTGGGAGTTCTTCAGGGTGGAGCTTCAGCATTGTATTTTGTTTTGGCGGAAACTACGCGGGAGTCACAAAAATGAGGTATAACTTCTAATTGCACTATGGGCCAAGATAGTACAGTTTCAAATTGCAGTTCGGGCAATGTATACAACCCACCTTTCTGGCCAGGTGCAGGGTGCCCCAAGTGCAATTGCAAACTGTATCTTGCCCCATACTGCATTTATAACTCGTTTTTTGTGACCCTACTGAAGTTTCCCCTTAAAGTTTGTTTTGTCTTCGCTACAGCCAGTGGAACATAATTGTGTAAGACTCATTAAGAGGCATTGATTGGTGAGCAGGCTTCATTCAATTTGCCTAGAGTAGGTACTGACTAATGATGTGACCAAGTAATTTCTCCGCAATGATCATGGAAGACCAACACAATTATTCCCTGCTGATCGAGAAGCTGACGGGGAGTTGAAGGGATGTTTTTTTCTTTCTTCAACAGCAGACCTCAGAGTCTGCATTTGTCAATGTTTTGAGCCTGGCGTCAGTGGCGTGTGATTGCATCAGTGTCACGGCAATGCCGCCCCTTTTGCCATGCTTCCGAGTCAATGATGGAAACGTCGCTCACGCTGATTGTTGATAACACATGGAAAAAAAAAAAAGAAAAAAAAAGGAGTGCTGATAAGAGCAGACACTCCTAGCACCCCCCGGGGGGCTCCATCTATTGGTGGGGAGCAGCACCTGCTGGAAAACGGGTCCAGCGTCCCATAGATACAACATTACAATACCAAATTGTTCGGGCACATGGCCATGAGACTATTTACCCCGGAGCTTCTCCCTATCCGTCTGGGCTGCATGTCTTTCTAGTCCCTTTGAACAGCTCTATCCTGCAAGTAGCCAAGTGCCCCCCGGGAACCCGCCCACCCATTCTTTCAAAACCAAGTCTGTTCTCCCACTGTTGCCACCACCAACGGGCCACTATCCCCGGTATCTGCAGCCCCCCTATATCGTGAACCTTATAGTATTGAATTTAGAGAGGTATCATTAAGTCATTGAGACATTGCGACATAACGACATCCACCCCCATTGTCTTTGGCTATGCCGTGAGTGGTGCAGTTCTCCCCAAGGCTTCGGCTTCTCAATCTTCTAAGTCATAGGTTCCCCGTGAGAAGTGGAATCCTTGGAGGGAAGCACGGTAAGAACAAGAGAGAACAGAGAAACTGGAGCAGCAATGACCATTCAGCGAATACGAAGCAGTGCAGCAGCCTGGAAGAGAAATTGTTTTATTGTTGAGAGAGAGAGAGAGAGAGAGAGAGAGAGAGAGAGAGAGAGAGAGAGAGAGAGAGAGAGAGAAGGTTGAATAGGGTGGAGCCACAAGATTAGACCGTTTCATATTTTTTTGAGCTAAAATCTGGATCTATTAGGTGTATGCGTAGAGTTGCAGACCGTAACGGTGCAGACCAGGTGCAGACCGTTACGGTGCAGACCAGGTGCAGACCAGAACAAGAACCGACCTCTCTCACATAGTACAAGATAGTGCAGCGGAAGGCTAATATACCAATGATCCGAACAATCAATGAAGGGGCCCTGCGCTCACACAGGAAGAATGCGCCTGTCCCCAACCATACACAGACGAAGAAGAGGGGGGTTAGACGAAGAAGAGGGGAAGATGGGAATGTCGTCAACACCAAGTCTTCGGTACAGGTCCCAAATAATCCCTCGTCCAATCTCTCAATCCCCATGTGGAGTCTGGATCCAAATGTCGTCAAGTCTCAAAGTCACCAATCTCTCTCTCTCTCTCTCGTAGTCTGCAGATACTGAGAAGTTAGGCAGCAAGAGGGTGAGGGAGAGATGGTGGACTTAGAAGAGGAAGAAGAACTCTCTCTCTCTCTCAGTCCGGTACTAACCTGTGAAGGTGGCGCCTTGTTGCAAGTACATCGAAGACGAAGCTGGAGCTATGGCGTCACAGGTAAGTCTCCCTGGCCTCCGCCAACCATCTCTCTCTCTCCAACACTACTCTAGTTCCTAGTAGCGCCCAGCACTGAAGACTACTGCTAACGCTACTACTACTACTACTGCAGCACTCCTCCAGAGCTATGTGACACCCGCGGCCTAGGCCTCGGGCAATTCGGCTGTTGCGGCCAAAAAAGTCGGTCGCGGCCGCGGCCAATGAGGCCCGGTCCGCGGTCTGTTTTTTTAATATTTTTTTTATACCCCTAAAAATACGTAATATAGGGTTATAGGGCTTGGAAAACCCTACAATCCTATATTTTTTATTTTGGAATCCGACTTCGTTTAAGATTTTTAAAAAATGAAAAACGAAATTCGATTTAAACAAATTATCATAGCTACGATCCGGACCACCGGACAGGGATCCGGACCGTCCATGGTCCGGGGTCCGGGGTCCGGGTCAGGATCTCGGTCCGGATGTGTGGGCCCCAACCCAACGGGCAAAAGTTTTTTGGGTGGTCCAGGGCGTTTGTTCACGCCCTGGGCCGCCCCAAAAAAATGGTGCCTGATTTTTTATCCCCCTCGCCAACGATCCGCCCGCCCCAAAAAAATGGTGCCTGATTTTTTATCCCCCTTGCCAACGATCTGGAAGGCCTGGAAAGTGTACCAGGGGGGTTGGTAACTTTGGTTTTGTTTCCTACCTGCAGCGCAAGCGTGCGGTGCACCCGGAGCAGTGCAGTGGTCACCGATGCGCAAAAAAAAAAAGAAAAAAAAAGTCGTTGTTATGTGTGAGAACACGAGAGAGAGAGAGAGAGAGAGAGAGAGAGAGAGAGAGCAAACAAATAGCTCCTTGTTCCTTATAATTTATTTGAAAACCCTTGCAGGTTACCCGAGAGGTCCCTGCAGATAATTAGCAAGAGGCTTCTCACCATGAACTTAGGGCCTCGCCACACCAATGTCGAAAACTGCATTTTCGACATCTTCTCCTCGCCACACAGCATGTCGAGATAGGAGATGCAAAAAAAATTCAGGAGCTGTCAGGGAAAGGGTTTTGACACCTCCTGTCGAGAAGGGCTCATTTCCCAGCCTGCAACTTGGACATTTTCAACAGTCCTCGGATGGGATGTCGAATTCTTGCCCGAATGTCGAAAAAGAGAACGCACCAATGCTTGTCCTATCTTCGCCCCAGTTTGTCTCTTTTGTGCACAGGACTTGTGAGTTCTTCACTTGGACATGCTGTGTGGCGAAGAGGGGTTTTCTGTCGAAAGAGGGAATGTCAAAAATTTCCTGACATATGTCGAATTTCGTGATGTTTCGACATTGGTGTGGCGAGGCCCTTAGTAATGCTCATAGCCATGCTAGGGTCATGGCACGCCAAGTATATATGCTGTGGATTCACATTAAGGGCCTCGCCACACCTATCCCGAAAATGCAAAAAAGTTCGGGAGCACTCTCCAACGAGGAGGATGTGAATTTTCCGTTCGAGAGGGCTCGCCGCCACACTGCGCTCTCCAAGGCGGCAGTCTCCAATTCTTCAGACGAGGCCCGACATTTTCTGGAGAGCGCAGATGACCGGCCTCGCCACACCACTCTCAAAATGTGCAAAATGAGAATGAACTTCTCGCTAGAACATGGCCAGATGCACCCGCCAGGGTTGTCCCCCGGACCCCGCTGAAGACCCCCGCGCCCGCCCGACCCCCGGCACCCCCGCGGGACCCCGCCCCCGGCACCCAGCACCCCGGCCCCGGGACCCCCGCCGACCCTGGACCCAGTCCCCCGGTCCCCGCACCCTCCAGGCCCCGGCACCCAGGCCCCGCACCCCCGGTCCCCATACCCCCGGTCCCCCCCCCCCGCTGACCCCCGACCCCCGCC